CGGAGGGGCTCCCCGTCCCCGCCCGCACCCCAACGCCAGCAGTCCTCACCCCGGAGGCCTCGCAGCCACGGTGCCGGCCCAGCCTGCGCGCCCCCTGTTCCCCGCTGCGCCCACCCGGCTCACGGGTCCTGTGAGCGCGTCTCAGTCTGGGGTCGGCGGAGGAAAGAGAAAAGTGCAGTCGGCTGGATACATCTGCCACGACGCGAAGAATGGATTCCTGTCCAGTTGTGCCTTTTTTATTTTTAAAAGGTGCTGAGGGGGGACATTAATGTGGGGAAAGCAGAGAGGGCCAGAAGCCCTAAATCGGTCACTGACTTGTGAAGCCCGCTTGGGGGCCGTAACCGCCGCTGAGCGTCCCGCCCTGGCAGCCCCTTCCCGCGGGCGCTGGGCGGCTGACGCCTCCCGGGCACCCGGGCCGCCCACCTGCTGCATCCGGGCCTGGGCACTGGGGTCACGCGTGCCTCAGTATTCCAGTGTCTGCTTCTAGTGCAGGTGGAGTGGAGCGTGGAGGGGAGGGGGAGTGGGAACACGGGAGAGACGGCCGGCCTGGAGCCCAGCACGGCACGCCGAAGCCTTGGGACGCTCTCCTGGCACAGCTGAGGAACCTTCGTGCTTTTCCTGTGCTGCGTTCCAGCTTAGCTGTCCAACTGCCTATGTATTAGCCCCGAACTATTCACTCCCTTTCTCTGTCCTGGTTTTTATCCGTTAAACTCTACTATGTGATAAGCCAAGCAAAATGTAACGCAACACCACTTGTAGATTCTTACCCAGCTGTAGCTCAGGGTCCGTTGCCTTCATCCAGGTCAGGCTCTGCTGATCTTGGCCGACTCCTTTGCCGCTCGATAGAGCTCGCGGGTCCTGCTGGGCGGACAGAGAGGGCCGGGTGCCCCAGGATGGGCTCGCAGGGCTCGTTGCCATGGGGGTCGAGCAGAGTTCCAAGAGGGTCGAGCAGAGTTCCAGCACTGTGCTGGCCAGCTGCGTGGAGGAGGTGGAGAGGTAGGCCCTAGGTCTCTGAGGAAGAGCCCCAGTGGCACGTTTGAAAGGACGAGGGCAGAAAGCAGCAGAGAACACGGTCCATTTGTGCGGCTGAACACACTGATGAACGTGCTCCACGCACCCGGGTCGTGGGAACGGTCCTGTACTGCCGCCACCTCTCTCACTTCGCTGGTTAATCGCCAGTTCCGTCATTTCTGCTATCTACATTTCTTGGTGTCTCTTCCCCTCCATCCCAACTACTCTTTCTCAGCTGATGAATCCTCAACAATCCTGGAATAAACTAGAATAGATGGTGACTCAGTTTACTTGCTCCTCCTCCCCTGAAGAAGCCTTCTCTGATCACTACCACCACCCCCACTCCACCTATGGGTGCTCGACCTCAGGGCACCTGAGCATTGATCCTGGCTGCCTTTACTTTCTTTTGGAATATTTGTTTTATGTCTGCCTCCAGAGAGTCGGAACCCAAGTTTATATGTAGTGGTACCTATTGTAATAAACCTGTTTCCTGAATAAATAAATGTACAAGGAGTAGCTTCAGTGCATCAACTGGAAAAGACAGAAGTTTGTAATTTTCTTTTTTTTTTTAATTTTTTTTAATTTAAAGAGTAAAAGGATAACATAATAATGGGGGGGCTTACCAAATTACAGACAAAGTGGTAGGAAATTATCAATGGTCATTGTTTTACATATTGTTATCTACAAGCTAGTTTCTCAGGAAAACAAACAGACAAATGATAGTGAGTTACAGACAAAAGAGGTAGGAGATTATCAATAGTTGTTGTACTATACTTAGGTATCTTCAAAGTGGCTTCTAAAGAATATAAATAGAACTATACATGAGTGACCTACTGAATAATCATTCAATAATTCTCAATGGTTGTTGTAGGAAACACATAATAATAAACATGGATCCATTTATGAAATAGGATAGGAACAATACAAACATTACAGAGTTATGGATAGATTAGTAGGAAAATATCAATGACTGCAGTAATACATGGTGGTATCTTTAAAGTGGTTTCTCAGGAAGACAGAGATACACAACAAGGATCTAACAAGTAGTTACAGCCTAAGGGTTGTCAAAAATCAAGTGAGCCATCTGGGGCAAAAGCCATTTTTTGTAGCATTTTCTCTCCAGCCTCCCATCACATTGGGACCCCACAACCAGTTAGTGTCCTCTCCCCAACTGTCAGCACAGGCAGCAGGAATCCTGCTGCAGACTTCTCCGGAGCTCTACCACAGCCTGTACTGTCAGGGGAAGAATGGCTTCCAGTGAGTCTCTGCAGGTATTGTGCAAGGTCCTCCTGGTTTCCAGCTTCCAAGCGGCTCTCGTGACCCCAGTCCACCGGACCTCTGACTCCGTGGGCTTAGTCTGCATTCTCATGTTCTCTGAGTCCTTGTTCAGCAGCTGCTTCTCCGCTGGCTCTGGACTTTTCTGGTTCTCAATGGCAGGAGCAAGAGTGGCCCATTGTATGGCATGTATTCCCAGGGGTTGTTCAAAGTTTGAGTGATTCACACACGTCCGTGGGTGGGCATCTGCAGTCAGTGCATGGCGGGCCAATTGTGTCATTGCTTCTCTGTGTCATAATAGATCTCAACTGAGCGGCGGCGGCCGGCCTAAGGGCAGGCGTGCAACAGCACTCGCCGCTGCTGCATGGCTCCCCATGTGCCGGGGGCCCTCCCTCCGGGGGCCTACAAGGGAGGAAGCTAGCCAACCAGAAGACCAGCGCTCCCCGCCCATGGCTCCCCGTGCGCCAGAAGCCCTCCTTCCGGGGGCCTACCTGTAATTTTCTTTTTGAGACAAAGTCTTACTATGTAGTTCAGGCTGGCCATGAACATACCATGTAGCCCAGGCTGGCCCTGAACTCACAGCGATCCTCCTGCCTCAGCCCCCTGAGAGCTGGTCTTAAAGGTGTGTGACACCATGCCAGGCACCAGATGCCAGTTTATGATCATTGTCCCAATGTCTTGCTTTTGAGAGCAACCTGTTTTCAGAGATGTCCCCGGAAACACCTGAGTTATACTGACTGTGATGGTTCAAAGGCAATCTTCCTCCGCTGAACTTCAACTTTACTGGAAAGACTTGGAATAGGGCATCTTTCTCCCTGACAGCAGGGAAGGGCACCATAAATACAAGGACTCCTCAGGGAGTAAAAGCAACACTGTTAGGTTCCAGGGGTTGTGAGGGGCTCCATGACAGGGGTCTGGCCAGTTTTCTCTTTAGACTCTCTTGCTTTTCCTTGTTGGATACAATATAGCTCCTGTAGCACCAAGTCCTCACCCAAACAGGAAAGGATTATTTGCTTTGTCTCTTTTACTATGAAATAATTCTCACAAAAACTTAACCAACTTCCCCCACAGGTCACAAGCCAGAGCAGAGAAGCTAAGAAGGATGGAGATGATCCAAGAATCTAGCAGAGAAGGCTAGGATGGCCATGACTAGCTTGGACAATCATGGTTCCTCTCCAGGGGTGGACGCACTATGGCTCCTATTTGAGACCACGAAGAGAGAACTGAGAATGGCTGTTATGCAATCTACTACAAACCTCCTTCATTTGTCTGGGGTTAAAATGCAGAATATTGGCTTTGAGCTTATAGCTAAATGGTACAGCACTTGCTTAGTTAAAAAAAAAAAAAAAAAAGCAGAACTTTAAAAGGAAAAGTTTCCTTGGGCCTCGAAGCTTGATCACATCTCTTCACTTCATTCTCCATTTTACTTTTGCTGTTTGGAGTCAGATCCTTTTAGCTTAAGGTCATCTGATGAGAGTTCCTAAGAATGTTTTCTGCCCAGGGATAATTATATCTCATTTTGCATTTACACTGCACCTTTGCTTAGAAGAGCTCAAAATGTTATCTCTCTCTCCTTGGGAAGGTTCCTTGAATTTATAGATATACAAACTAATCTGTGACCTTTTAGAGAAGACAATAAGCCACTGAACCAGAGAATTATAAATAGCCTTGCTTAAAGTGCTGCTGCTTGTGTTCTATTTTGTTTTAGGTTTCTTTGTGTCCAGAGTTACATAAAATTCTGCTGCAACAATGTAACACAGGGATACTGAAGTGATTTTAAAAAGATAATAGAAAAGCGTAGGCATAGATAGATACACAAATCTGTGGGTGTTTAGAATGACTGTGAAGAGCAAAATTTGCTAATACACAAATATCAGACTTCGGAAGTTACTAACTTTATCAGCCAAAGAAGAGCTTGAATTGTAGTGTGTAGGCAAAATTTGCCGAGGTTCCACTAGTTCGAGAACATTCCTTCACTCCACCACCAATCACTCCACCTCTACTGTATGGTGCAGGTCCTTGAATACTGAATTTTACTGGCTCTTCAGAGGCTCTGCCTCTAAGCTACTCTCCCCAGATAGGAATCATGCTTCTGCCCTCTACCAGCACTGCATTATTTCAGTTCAGCTTTTCTCCTCGAGGTTCTGTGCTAAGTGCTAGTACGAACACAAAGAACAGCTAACTTTCAAACATTCACTGAGGCCAGTAAAGTATCAGATGTGCCCGCCTGCTTTCTGACACCCTGTAAGTGGAGGAATTCATTAAACTGTCATTTGTAAATTATTGAGTTTACTAAAAATATCCTCAGGTAGTATCTTAATTCTTACTTAAGTCTTTACTATTCCTGTACAATGGGTTAAAATATTCTAAATTGAGGTTCAGGCGAACATACATAGGGGAGTTGGGATCCCAAGCTCTCCGATTACAAATCTTGGCCCTTCCCAACAGTGTGGGGAGCAGGATGAACAGTCTAGTCACCTACACGGCGGACAAAGCACAAGTCAGGTGCAGGTTCCAAAAGGCCTGCAGCAGGGAGAGTTAGATCTGAGGTGGGGAAAGGTTTCCGGGAACGCTACAGGAAGCACACTGGCCCCTGGAGCCTGAGCAGTCTGTGACAGGAGGGTGCAGGGAGAGCAGGTGTATGAAGTGCAGGAACAGCAGAACTGCAGGGCAGGAAGCAGACGCAAGCTTCAGCAACACTGAATAGTCTCATGGGGCGGGGGATGGGGTGGGCACCCAAAAGCTTGAAGACCAGCCTTTGGATGGCAGCACGTGCTGTGCTAAGGAATGGGGCGGGTGGGTGTATATATTGAGACAGGGTCTCACTTTATGGTTTAGGCTGGCTTTGAACTCACTATGTGGGCCAGGCTGGCCTCAAACTTGGGGCAATTTTCCCGTGCTGAGATTATGGGCATGTGCCACTATCTCTGGCTAGGCTAAGGGATTTACCAGAAGGCTGTGGAAAGGCTGCTCTTGTGGAGTAGGTAGCTCCTACTGTGGGTCAACAGTGTCTGTGCTAGGATCTGACAGAGAATGGGATGCAGTCTCTCTTCTCAATGCTCTCGAGATTAATTACTCATCTTCCACGAGCAGTTAATTCTCTCTTCCTTCTCAGGTGTATCAAAAATTAAAATCCAGTTGCATCTTCCCTTAGCCACTGCCTCATTAAAGAGTCCTCGTCTGGATTTCTTTTCAAAACCACACAATTGCCAAAAACCCTCATCTTGTTAGCAAAGTACGTCTGACAGCAATTTCTCTATGCCTTTTCCATTAGTGGCTTGTGAAATGGCAGGTGCTCCCTTAGCTCAGACTTTCAGGGTCTGCTAAGAATCACAGGGTCCGAGGATATAGTTCAGTGGCACAGCGCCTGCTGGGCAAGCACAAGGTTGTGAGTTCGATTCCTAGTACAAAAAAAAAAAGGAAAAGAAAAAGAATCATAGCCCGGAACCTTGGCTGCTTATTTACTCCTCTGTACACTTTCCCAGCTCAGCATAACAGCTGCAGATGCTGCCTCACCGTTATTATTCATAACCTAGCGATGTGGCTAACACAGTCTGTGCAAGTTTCCTGCATGCATAATCGGGGTGCTGAGTAGGAATAAATATGGTATAAATGCTCATATTCCAAGCAAATCAAGTCCAGTTTCAAATTACTCTTGTGCTCAGAAAAGAAAGCCTACCTTACTTAAATTTTAGCAATTTTACTGCAAAATTTCAGCAACTGTTTATAGTTGACACAGAAACTGTTAATATTACACTAGCAGGACTATGAAAGAGATGTAAACCTGAGTATTTTGTTTTTGCCACAACATTGAGGAAGACTTCAAAAGAAGGATGATATCATTTTGGAATTGGGTCCCACTGAACAAAAACAGAAGGTAACGGACTAGTTCAGAAGAGAGAGAATTCAAAGTTCAGTCATGGCTCTTACTAACTTTAAGGAAGGGGAAAAGTACTTTCCTTCATTTTCACTGACAAGTGTAAGTAAAGGGAACTGTATGACAAGGCATGGATTTATAGATTCACAATGTATGGGGGTTGCTCATTTAAAAGGAGCTGCATTTCAAGGCAGACACGTACTCATGTCAGTACACAACACACAAATACACTGCTTACAGCTCAAAGTTCTATTGAGTTCATCTCTTATACACACAGGACATCCACACGGAGCTGCCCTAGAAGCTGGAACTACCAATCTGCAGGTTCAGAGATTGTGAGAAGCTTAAGTATAT